TAAATTATAAGTTTGTTTCTCAAATATGGCAAAACCATGATAATATGATTTGTTAAATATTAACTGGCAACAAACTACCACACTCCAGTTTTATCAATCGTAGTTTTAAACTACAAAAATATTTATCTGAAAAAAACCCAAAAACCTAAAAAACTGAAAAAAAAAAAAAAAAAAAGGTTTTTCAATCCCCAGTTCTGCCAAAACAAACAAACAAAAAAAACTTATCTGTAACATTTGTTCACAAAGGCAAGAAGAGTGGGTTTGCTAACAGCTTGTTGAGAAGGCTACGGGAGAGGACAGAACCATGAGGCATCCCTACCAAACGTTCACATCCTCCAGGGAAGGAGCCTGTGGAACATTCTGGAAGGCTATGCACAGTTGCTGGACCTGTCAGCTTACTCCTCTGGACTCTGAGATGACGACAAAGAGCTTGTATTTTTTTTTTTTTTTTAAATCAGCTGCTTCTTTAGCCTAAGACAGCCTGCCCTAGGTTTACCCTTTATAAACCACCTTTTGAAGACTTCTCAAGTGAGCATCTATATGAAATCACTGCATTCCCAGAGAACTGTTCCTTCAATCAAGGGAAACAAAGGCCCTAGATGACTTCTGTAATGTTTGATTGTGGTGTCTGTGAAGCTGTTGCAGGATCACTTTCTGTGTAGGTCAGCATCTTAAAGGAAAACTCTTCTGTAACTACCATCCCTCCTTATGGTTTTTCAATCTCAAGGAGAACCCTAGCACGTTGGAAAGAAGCAGAGCAGAGATCTGCATGTTCTGCTCACTGATATACCTCAGTGCCTGACAGAGCAGGTACTTGATAAACATACACTGAATAAATGAGCACACTATTAGGTGACTGTTCATAGGGGCTACAGATGTTATATTTTACTCTAGGTGGTATTAGCTAGTTCATTCAGTTAATTCCACATATACCCTAAGGAACAAAAAAACCACATGCCCCATGAACTTATTTTATATAGCACCGTCACAGCCATACATCACTGGTACAGCCAGACACTACAAAAATCACTTCCGCAGGAACATTACAACGGGAAATTGATGACCTATTGGGAAGCTCTTTAGAACCTCTCACCTCCTCAGCTAAAACCTGGGGAAGGAGCAGCACAGGCGGGAGACTTCTGAGAGCCCTGCAGTTCCCTTCCTGGTGGACCTGAGCATGTACCGCTCTGAGCTCCAGGCTCACATCTGTCCTGAAGTTAAGGGGGTGGGGCACAGTGACAACTGGGCGCAGGGATTTAACATCTCCTGCTTTATGAAATTATAATTACCAGTAAAGCTCATGTGTGGTTTAAGATTAGTAACACCAACTCTGTGAAATTTGAGTTTATACCCAGTTATGTCAACTGAACCTGCCCTGCAGGACTCAAGTGGCTGTTAGGGGGAGAGAGGACATTTCAGTGACAGAGCCAGAAGTTTTTGTTTGCTTGTTTTTAATGTATTTAGTACAGGGTCTATAAGGTCTTACTACACAAATTGGACTCAGTGATCCTTCTGTTTTCAGCCTCCCAAGGGCTGGGATTACAGGTGCGCATCACAATGCCCAGTCTCAGTCACTGTCAGTGCACCCTGGGGAGAGGGGAGGGCTAGCAGGGTATGTGGGGATAGAACTCTGGTTTCTATGTCTGCCTAAGCAGGTGCTTTAGTCCTCTGAGCTATCTGGCTGGCCCTCAGTAGTAGTTTGTTTTTTGTTTTTTTCTGAGAACAGAAGTAATAAATCATTCTTAGAAAGTTTTCTGGGCCAGGGAGATGGCTCAATGGAGTAAGTGCTTCCCTGGAAAGCACAAGGGCCTGAGTTCAATCCCTGGTTCTGCAAAAAAAAAAAAAAAAAAAAAAGTTTTCTTTCTTTTAACAGACACTGATGTCACAATTTACAAGGCAACCACTTCCCAAAAAAGAGATGGCCTTAAACTTACTGATCTGGGTCATAAACTCATTGTGAGGAAGGTAACGGCTTCAATTTTGGGAAGTAAGTG